AGATAACAGGGAGAATAATAAAAAAGAAAGATGAAAATTACTAACCCCAAATTAGGTTTGGTAACGACACTTTATTTGTTGTTAACAACATTGAATTTGCAAATGACAAAAAAATTTTGTTGGCATTTCTTATTTAGCATTTACAAATTTCCAATTTTTTTGTCACTTTCTCAAGATAATTAATACTCCTGCAGTTCTTAATATAAAACTTATTTAACTAACTTGATTAGATTAAAAAAGTTAAGTAAGTTAGTTAATTATAAAAAATATGATATGTTTTTCTAAAAACACCATAATTATTTTTTTAATATTCCTTCTTCCTTACTTACTTGATTATGGTTGAGTAAGTATCCATAAAAATAATTTTAAAAAATTAATAAATATAAAAAATAAATCTTATATTTAAAACTAAAATTAATTTAAGAATTAGTTCTTATAACCGGAGGAGCAATAAGCAATAAGTAATAATAAGGTTAAAGGGAGCAGTGAATGAACATTTACCAGATAGAGAAGGCACCCACTGCAACTTCAGCGTTTTTGAGATACCCAGCGAACAGAACCAGCAACGAAAAATACCACACCTCCAAGCTGCATGCACATACGGAGAATTTTATTTAGTTTAAAATTGACGTAACGGCCACTTCTCGGAGCTTACAGCAAACCGGCAAGTAAACGACGACACATGCGAAGCGAATGATAATTTAATATCACCCAACAACTCATCTCTGTCGGGAATGTTAGATTCAAAAAGGTTTCCCCAAAAATAATAATAATAATAATAATTCCAAAAAAAAAGAAAAAGAAAACGTAGATTTTGCTGTGTTCAGAAAATGGTGATCTCTTCGGCCCAAGCGCCGGCGAACAGGGACATGCCGGAGCTTGCAGCAGAGTAGAGAAAGTAAAATGATGAAACATGTGAATGGAATGAGTAATGACAATACGAACCAGAGCATGACGGCGGAGGCCAAAGAGAGGCGAACGAAACCCCACAGATTCTTAAATGCTTGGAAGGAAAAGCCATTCCAAGCTCGCCCACATCTTCCGCATAAGATGTAAATCAATGACCAAGCACGAGCAACCACCACGACGCGTTCAGGACGACCGCCGCTCCGACCAGTCCCAATTTCAATTTTAGCATCAGCAACCAGCTCATCACCACGTGAAGCACCAGCACCCCCGTCGATATCCACGCCATCACCATGATTTTGCTCTGCGCCTGCAAGAACTTCTGCATCGGAAAGTTCATCGCGTACGCGTACAGCTGCGGTATCATCCAAATCGCGAACAGCCCCGCCGTGTCCGAAATCGCCGTCGTCTCCCCTATCCCTTTGAGGATTTGCCTCGCGAAGATGTAAAATGGAGTCAGAAACAGAGCCGTCGTGGTCAGAATCAACCACGACCTCTGCATGTAAATCCCTAACATATCAAGCTGACCCGCCCCGTAAGCTTGCCCGCACAGCGTCTCCAGCGCGCTTCCCATTCCGAGCTGTTCGAATTCAAATTCAAAAAAAATCAAGATCACTTCACCTTTTAAAGTATTCGCCAGAGTAATTTGTAGATATTTTACCATGAAGCCGTAGCAGAAGTTGCCGATGATGGAGTTCTCGACGGAGAATGAGGCGAGTTGGAGGGTTCCGACCTGACCGGTGAGGACTTGAGTGATGCCACCGAGGGAGTACTGAGAAACGGAGGTCAGAATGGCGGGGCCGGTGAGGTACCAGAGCTTCTTGGACTCGATAAGGAATTGAGTAAAGAAGTCTTTGGGAGTGTTGATGGGAGGTATGTCAGAAGATTCAGCGCTGAAAATGGCGGGCGCGGCGGAGATATCATGATGAGGCTCCTCCGGTGAGGATGTAGCGGCGAGGAGCGGCTGCGCATTATTCTCCCGATTTTCCATTGATTACTGTGCAGAACGTGTAGGTCTTCCGCGCAGGTATAACAAATTCTCCAACACAACTCTATTTAGTAGCTACTGGTCCCTGTACGTCCATATTTACATGGGCTCGGAATGAATCATCATCATCACTACACACCGTCTTGGCCGTTACTTTTCAGCGACCACGTAGTCAAGTTGACGACATTCCACTCTTCCCATTTCTTCTCCTTCCCTTCTTATTCATTGGTATGTACGTATATTTATAAGTTCACCTCTTTTTTTTGTTTTTTTGCTTGAATAAATTCCTGAAAAGCTCTTCATTTAAGACGTTTACTACCTAAAAGTGGCTACAATTTGTTTTAAAACAAAGGTGCAACTCAGCTTTTAGTTTTATGAAAAAAGAAACATTTGAATTACAAACACTCAATTCAAATCTCTTTTAGGCAAAAAGCTATTCAAATAGGGATTTTTCAATAATTTTTTCTCTCATTTTTGTTTTATTTAATTTGTATTTTTCATTGCTTGAATTTTTTCCAGAATAGTCAATAGTATATTTTTCAATATATATGCTTAAATTAATACTTGATATCTTAAATAATGAAAAACGTATAAAAAAAAAATTAAAAAAATTATGCAAAACAATTTGTCTCTACATAACAAAAACTTTTATTTCAAACTAAGAGGAGTTAGAGTATGAGGGGAGATCTACATTGAGACCCACATATTAATATAAAAAAGGAAATTTCAGATGATCAGTTGAGTTTCAAATATGCATACATAATAAATATTATGATTTCTTTTTCTAAACCTGAGTCAATATGAAAATTTCGAATTATGATTTTAATATTCAATTATTTTGATAGTAACTACATTATACTATTTGTCAATGTCAATTATATACTAAAAAATTTTAAAAATCATATAAGAAATAATAAATATAAAATAAGGAAAGGAAATCCAAACCAAACATATTAATGTCAAATACAATATCTTTGCAAAATAAGTACAAATATTTTCTTTGAAAAGTAATGTATAAATAGAAGATTTTTTGAAACAAAGTAAATTAGTAATAAACAAACATGTTTGACATCAGTCCAAAGGAAAAAAAAAAAAAACATATGTTTGACAGGCTCAATAAAGACATTAAGACGCCACATCACTGACCTTTTTCCCCTCCCTCTCAAATTTTCAATGATAACATTTGCAACTAATTGAAATAATGTGATTTTTTTATAGAGATAATTTTTCTGTATATTGTAATTTATTTTTTATTTCAGCTTTTAGAAGTTGAAAATGAAAGAAAACTTTATTTTGGAAAAGATATAAATATAGATTATACTGAAAAATAAGTTAAATAATGAAAACAGAAAGGAAATAAAAGAGAAATGAGGCAAAAATGTGACCCTTTTTTTTTTTTGAAGAAATATGAAGATACCTAACCCGGCTGCTGATGGTTGTGGTTGCCAGGTGCTGCCGCTGATAACACTGCGGCTGATGGTGAAAGCCCGGGGAGCCCTATGTCACAGATGATGATAATGGTTGCTGTTGAAGTAGGCAAAAGAAATGCTTCAAGGGTAAAAATGACAAATGACCCTGATTCTCTGAAAATCTTAGCATTTCCCTGGGAGGGTCTGATGGTGAAAGTTAGTTGAATCAGTTTTTCGGGAGGAAATCAGTTCCCTGTTAGAGAAGTAAAATCTAGTATACCAAACGATAATTTTTTTTTATCATTAAAACTTTTTGGTAGAGGAAGGGAAGGGTAGAGGAGAGAATCCCTTTCCAAAAAGTTCAGCAGCCATTGAAAAAATATTTTTGCTCACTCACCGCAGCACACCACATCATGAAAGCAAGAATAAAAAAAAAACATGGAGCATGTAGAGGTGTTGTCCGTGATGATTAAGGACAGTGGCTGATGGGATTTCAAAAAAATCTGGGATTTACATACAGGTTTGTTACTCTGTAAAGACATGCAACCATAGCTCTATTTAGAATAGCTTATAAATAGTTTTTCAATTATGATTTATGAAATACGAAACATGTACGTGAAAAAAATTTTGTTCCGACTTACATAAAACATATTTATAAATAATTTTCACTGTTATTTCAGGCAAGTTCCATCTCAGATTAAACTTCACACAGATTCTGTGGTAGCTGTCAATTTAATGATGTCGGACTGTGGAATTACACACCCCTTGAAAGAGGTGATTGATGATACAAGATCTCTCGTCTTTTCTTGCTGGGACCTTGAGGTCATTCATAAGTACAGAGAAGCACTCAAATGTGCCGATATTCTTGCCAGAAAGGCTCACAGTGTTAGCAGTAATGGGATTTATTTCCAAGACCCTGACCACATGTGCTTGGACCAGCTGAGGCTTGATTGGGAAAGTTCCAACCAGGAAGCTTTGCCTTCCCTTAGCGGATGATTTTTTGTGATTTGTAACTTCAAGCGTAATGCTTGCCTTGTTATTCAAAAAACAAACAAACAAATAAATAAATGAGTTTACTGTGCTCTTTAAGCCAAAACGCCACTTTGGTATCGCTAAAGCACCATTGCAAACACAGGTGTTTGGTCACTTCAAAAAGTCATTTTAAAAAACATTTTTACATAAATAGAAACAAAACTCTTCCACATACCATTACGTAAAATTACTTTTAAAACTATAAATTGGTTTTCACTCAAATTCTCCTTAAGTAAATTATACTTGCCAATGTCTGATGGGGTTTTCGGATTCAAACCTCTCAGATGTTTTAAAGTGAGTTGTGGTTTTGTCATGACTATGTAGAGGCATCTGCAAAGCTAGACATATATTTGGTTGAACCTTTCCTTCGGCGGGGAACTGGTTCTGGTAAAAACATCTCGATCACCCACCATTTATGGTAGTTAATGCTGTCTTCTCCACCATCTCATTTGCGCATGGTGACTGATTTAAGCACGACGGAGCGAGGTGGACTTGCACCAATGGGCTCGGACAGTCTCATCTTTGACCTTAAAAAGTTACCTGCTAGATTTTTGAGACTTGTTTATGTGGTCATTAACTTTAGCTTGTTTAGGATGCCTATGGATGGTATTAATTGTAGCATATGTAACATTTGATCGGGTATCAAAAAAAAAAGAAAAAAAAGAAGGTGAAGCTATTTCTCAAGTTAAGAAAGAATTCCAAACATTCGTCCCTAAAATGAAAACAATTAAAAACTAAAAAGAAAAACCAGTGGAAAGCAAGAATTTTCTGCACCTTGGCCTCAAGTTTCTTCTGTCTTTTCCATTGCACCATCTATAATTGCATGCCCTCCCCACTTCTTTATCCTATCTTCTGCAAGCAAGGCCTGCAATTTCACCCACAAATTAAAAATATCCATAATTCACGCGCCGCACTCACACTTTACAATAATAAAACTTGCTATTGATTTTCTTCCTACAAAGAAGGTACCTCTTTATTCCAGTTGGTTCTCCAAACCATTACGGCTAGAACGATTGTCTGTAAAAGGAGCCCTGACATCATTCCTGACCAGATTCCCTGCAAGCCAAAACGGTAAAAACAGGGGGAGAGAGGGAGGGAGGGAGGGAGAGATTAAAAGCATCGCTTTATATTTTGAAAAATTCTCATATATGAAGATGAATTAGTCAACAGAGCATTTCAAGCAAATTCAACCCACAAAACACAAACATCTGTTCCATTTGAGTAAATAAATTACGTGGGAAAAGCATGTTTCACATATTTACATGGGAAAAATAGCAACAACCCTCAAATAAAAAATTTAATTAACTACTAAGGAATCATTTTTACCTGTCAATATATAATAATATTTGGGGTAAATCACATAAAACTTCGCTGACCTTAGAATCGTATATAAATAACTTCATTTACTTTTATAAACTTTCAAATTTATGCAGATAACTCCAAATTATTAATTTTATATCCACTTTGTATGCCTATAACCCCTCAAATTTTGAGTTATATGCAATTAATTAATCCCCTTAAATTTTAAATCATTTGCGGTTAAATAATACTCATTTTGTAGTACTTAGGCTCTGCTAGCTGTGGTTCTTTCATCACAAAAATAATAAACAAAAGTAATAGCATGTCAGTTATCTGCGTAAATGTGACAATTCAGGAAGGCTTTTTGTAAAGTTTCAAAAAAGAGAGAAGTTATTTACATCCATATATTAATATATATACACATATATGACATAAAGTTTCAGGAGTTTTGTATAATTTAGTCTAATATTTATACATTCTCTCATTTTTCATTAATTTTTATTCTTATATGATTGATTACTCATGATCACAAGCGTAATTCATCTATTTCCGTTAGGGCAAAAAAGGGCGGAAGCAAGGATGGTTGACGTACAATGACTCCAAGGTTGAGCTTGTAGCCCAAAATAAGACCGAGAGGGACACCGACGACGTAGTAACAAGCGATGTTGACATAAGCAACAATAGCTTGCCAGCCAGCTCCGACGGCGACGCCGGAAAGAACAGGCTGCACATTGTTGACGATGATGCATAAAGACAACATGGGTGTGAGCTCCATCACCGCCTTTTGAACCTCGGTGTCGCTCGAAAACAACGATGGATACTCCTTGCGGAAGACGAGGAGGAAAATTGACACCACAAGTCCCAGAAGAAACGACGTTATTACGGCAACAAGCAGTGAAAACTTTGCTGCTCTTGGATGTCCTGCTCCCAGTTCATTGGATACTCTCACACTGCACGAATGCACGATGCATGCAGCATTATTCTCAAATAAGTTTTACTCGTGATCAAAGAAAATCTTAAGTATCATTAACTTTGTCTTGTACTTTAATAATTTTTCAATTGTATCTCTATTCACTATACATATTCTTAAAAAATACAACCTCCGATCCTTAATATAAGACCCTGTTTGACTTTTATTTTGGTCCTAAATATAAGACCCCAATCCACTTTGTCTCTCATATTTATGCATTTTTTCCCAAGATAGTCCTTCTAATAATTGTAGTCTTAACCAATATAGTTGATTAGTAAGAATATTTTAGGAAAGACAATACCTATTTATTACAAATAACTAACTTAATTTCTTTCCTTAATCTCCTCAAATTAGTCAACTGGGTCTTATAATTAAGACCGGAGGTAGTATAACTGTTTAGACAATATAAAAAAATTGGTTAAAATTAGTTAGAGATAATAAGTATGCAAAAACTGTCACCTTTTTTCCTCAAAAATATCCTTATTTAGAGAGGGGGAGAGTATGAAAGAGAGAATAAGGAAGCTGTTAAAAATAAAGAGAATAAGTGGTGAAGAGGAAGTTTCACGACTGTGTGATTAAATGGATACAAAATGATAAATTAACAAAGAAAATTTAAAATATCCTTTAATTATCTCTTATAAATAGGAATAAGAGATAGGTGGTAATTGTTTCTTATTTAAAAAAAAAACCGAGGGGGTAATCAATGAATATAACAAAATTATATATTTATGTAGAAAAGTTAATTATGTGATTTATAAATATGATAAAAACACCTCTCTTGAATCTATAACTAGTATCAGAGAAATATGTTTGTTATTGACTTCTGTGTTAAATTAATGTAGAAATATTACGGGTATTTTCAGAGAGATAGAGGAATGGAAAATCACACCTTACGGTTGCGTTGAATCCGAAGGAGACCATTATAGCCCAACACAATATGTTGATGCTGCAGAAATGCACAAATTCAATGTCATGTCAGCAAATTTAATTAAAAATGAAAGCCCATATTGATGGTTGGTTGATGAAATTGAAGTGAAAGGCACAGTTTTTATCATTTGTGGAGGCATATGGCTAACTACTAACCCCTGATATTTGATTTAAAAACATGGAATTAAAGGGCAGGCTATATAATACTACCTCTGGTCCTTAATATAAGATCCCGTTTGACTTTTTATTTGGTCCTAATTATAAGACCCCAATCTATTTTGTCTATCATATTTATACATTTTTTTTCCAAGATAATCCTTCTAATAATGATAATTTTACCCAATACACTTAATTAGCAAAGATATTTTAGGAATAACAACACTTATTTATTACAAATAACTAATTTAACTTACTTCTTTAATCTCCTCAAATAAGTCAACTGGGTCTTATAATTAGGACCGAAGGTAATATAAAGGGTTCATTTCGAATTTTGATCACAAACAGTTGGGTTGTGTTTGGCAAAATTAATCTTTTTGTCTCTAAAATTTTGTTTTGAGTAACTCAATTTTGCAAAACTAAAACTGTAATATATGTGGAAGTATAATCTAATGAACTCGCCACCTTCAAATACTATTTTCTATTCTTGATATAAGACTCAATTGATTAATTTAAAAAAATTAAAAAATTACTGAATTATTTAATTATAGAATATATTAAATAATTCATATAAAATATTTATATATATTTATATATTAAATTAGTTTTAAAAAAATCAACAAATATAAATATTTTTTAATTTTTCCAAATTAATTAACTGTGCCTTTGCCTTGCATTTGCTTTAAGGATCATAGCAGTAGTATTATTTTGATTTGATTGATTTATCACGGGAGACCCTATTTTTGTCCTTTTCAGCTTTTCTTTTATTATTTTTTTACTGAATTTAGTAACAGTAGACCAGGTTCAAATTTCAAACAGTATTTCTCGAAGCTCGTGTAAAATGGCACAGCGCCCATTGACTAGTTCACCTGAGCACAATATCCACCGATTTGAGTAAATATTAAGAAAACAAGATAAAAGTAATTATTTAATCTTTATAAGTTTTAATTGAGTCCCTCCATTTTAATATGCGACCCAACCTATAATTTGGTTAATTTAATACGTAATCTCCATAAATTTAACAATTTAAATTATTGAAGGTAAAAAGACTATTTAAAATATCTACTTTTAATAAGATATCTTAATAATAACAAAAGGTCAGACTGTCAGAGGGAGGAATGAATCAGCACTTACCAAATAGACAAGGCATCCACCGAAACTTCAGCGTTTTTGAGATATCCCGCAAACAGAACCAGCAATGTGAAATACCACACCTCCAAGCTGCAGATCCCACCACTTTCATTTAGAGTGTTTTAGATAAAAATTAAACTATAATTTTTAAAAAAATTTATTTCGATTTATATTCTATTTTCATTTGAGGAAAAACCACAACCCATTGATTTAACATTTGACCACCAACCATCTTTGACCACAATGTTACATTTTATTAACAACAAACAAAGTTGATAAAAGATAGAAACCTTGTAAAATTGTCCTTTATATTTTTTATATAAAAAAGGTAAAAATATAATTTTACTCTGATTTTATTTTTTTTCAAATCTACATGGCATCCAGAGTATGCCTAATGCACTTCAAAAAAAAAAAAGTAAAATCAAGTAAGAAGTTGCAAATTACCCAAAAATGTCATATCATAGAATAACGAAACAAAAAAGTTTGCCAAAAAAGGTAATAATTCCAAAAAGTTATAGATTTCTTGCAACTAAGAAAATGCTGATACTCCGATTCTAAATGCTGTAGCTAAATAAAAAAAAAATAGTCGTTATATTTAGGATCGCATCCGAGAAATATCTCCTTCCCAAACCCCGGCGACAGGGACTTGCCGGAGCTTACAGCAGACTAAAAAGTAAATGATGAAACACGTGAATAGAGTGAATGATGACTAATACGCACCAGAGCATCACGGCGGAGGCAAGAGAAAGCCGAACGAAACCCCACAGATTCTTAAAGGCTTGGAAGGAAAAGCCATTCCAAGCTCGCCCACATCTTCCGCATAAGATGTAAATCAGCTGACCAAGCACGACCAACCACCACGACGAGTTCAAGGCGACCGCCGCTCCGACCAGGCCCCACTTCAGTCTCAGCATCAGCAGCCAGCTCATCACCGTGTGCACCACAAGCACCGCCGTCGATATCCACGCCATCACCATGATTTTGCTCTGCGCCTGCAAAAACTTCTGCATCGGAAAGTTCACCGCGTATGCGAACAGCTGCGGTATCATCCAAATCGCGAACAGCCCCGCGGCCTCCGAAATCGCCGTCGTCTGGCCTATGGCTTTGAGGATTAGTCCCGCGAAGATGTAAAATGGAATCAGAAACAGAGCCGTCGTGTTCAGAATCACCCATGACCTCTGCATGTAAATCCCTAACATATCAAGCTGACCCGCCCCGTAAGCTTGCCCGCACAGCGTCTCCAGCGCGCTTCCCATCCCGAGCTGTTCGAATTCAAATTCAGAAAAATCAAAATCACTTCACCTTAAACGTTTTAAACAGTAATTTCTAGGTTTTACCATGAAGCCGTAGCAGAAGTTGCCGATGATGGAGTTCTCGACGGAGATGGCGGCGAGTTGAAGGGTACCGACATGACCGGCGATGACCTGAGTGACGGCGCCGAGGGAGAACTGAGAAACGGATGTCAAAATGGCGGGGCCGGTGAGGTACCAGAGCTTCTTGGACTCGATGAGGAACTGAGTAGAGAAGTCTTTGGGAGTGTTGATGGGAGGAATATCAGAAGATTCAGCACTGAAAATTGCAGTAGCGGCGGAGATACCATGATGAGGTTCTTCCGGTGAGGGTGTAGCGGCGAGGAGTGGCTGCCTATTATTTTCCCCATGCTCCATCTTTTTGGTTCGGCCTTCCACTGCTCCATTCCCTCTTCGCAATACTTGTCCTTTTGCAGAGATTAAAAAAAGTAATAATAAACAACTTAATTCCACGGCTATAGGTATAGATTATATTTTATTCCCTCGTATCCACTTTAAAATAACAAATAATTAGTTAAAAATAATAAATAATTTAAAAATATTTTTTTATTTTTAAATATATTTTTATAATAAGTAAAAAAGAACGAAAGAAAATGTGGAAAAAAATATGATAAATAAGAGAGAATAAATAATTAAAAACAAAATTAAAAAGATATATTAAATGTTAAGACAAATATAAAATAAAGTTTATAAAATAGATTATACATCTTCTAAATTTAAAACTTATATATCAATACATATCCTACAAAACAGTGAATAAGGATCATTTTGATTAAAAAATTTAGTATATGTTTGGATTGGGAGTTAAAAAAGTAAATTATTTTCAATTTGACTTTTAAAAAAATTAAATTAAATAATATAATTTTTTGTTTAGATTGAATTTTATAAATAAATCAATTTGTAAAATTAAAGTTGTTTGAATTATTATTGAAAAAGTAAGTCTAATACTAAAATGACCAACAAAGTTATGATATTAAGTAATATATGTATATAATTTATTATCTCTCTTGTGCTCTCTATTTACATTTTCTAATATTTTTTTTATACCTTCTCTCATTTGTTATAAGAGAATATATGAAATAAAAGTATATTTATAATCTATTTATTATTTTCAATTAATTTTAACTAATTTTTTAATCTCTGTAAATTAGTTATTTAAAATTTATAATAAAAATAAGAGGGAATAGTAAATTTCTTAAAAGTAAAACCTAACTATTTTCTAAATAAGCAAGTTTGTAAAAGTAAAGTTGTTTAGATTATAATTAAAATAACAAGATTATATATATGCGTGTGTGTGTGATAGGGAGAAGACCAAAAAAAAAAACTGGGAATTTATAAATGCTAAATAAGAAATTTCAACAAAAATTTGTTGTCATTTGCAAATTTAATATTGTCAACACTAAATAAAGTGTTGTCACTAAACTTGATTTAGAATTTAATAATTTCAAGCTTTTTTTTTGTTATTCTGCCCGTATGATATGCAAGTATTACCATATATTTGAGAAAAAATAAAAAAATAAAAAGAAATGACTGAAATAACAGTGCTAATTCCCCGCCACATTGTCATTTTGATGACATGAATAAGTGACCCTATAAATATGGATAAAAACAATCAAACAATTCCTTAAATCATGCTGTGCGGAGAAGTATCTCAAGTCTTGTTTTTGTCTTTTGAGGGGTTATTTGGCAAAATTAAACAAATTTCTCTAAATATTTATTTTGTATGCTATAAAAATATTTTTAAAATTATGATTTGATTTTTATCCAAATACTTTTATAAAAGACAAAAACAAGGTTTGAGATGCTTCTCCGGATAGTACGATTTAAGGAGTCGCGCTATCTAAACAGCTTTCGGCCCATTTTTGTGCGTCAAAAGCTGCTCCAAACGGGAAAAGAAGTTGTCCAAATGTGCTTCTTGTTAATAATTAATAAGTTACTTATAAGTGGGTTTAAACGTAAACCCAAACCCAAACCCAAACCCAAACAGAGTCTTTAATCAAAGATCGTGCCTATTCTTCGCACAAAAACTGCACTGCAACCAGAAAGTTGCGGAGAATGGTCATTTCATTTAGATTCTTATTTCTCATATATTTATTTTGGGTGTTTTGATCTTTATGGTAATCTTAGCGGCAAAACACAAATCCAGATACCTTTGTCAGCCATGAAAGTAAAATAATCTAGAGAGAGGTTCGAGTTCCAAATGAAGAGGAGAAATTAGAAAATTGCTGTTATGTTATGGGGCGCGATCTAAATGGTGTTGTTCGAGCTAAAAGCTGGCCAAATTGGACTCTAAAACTAGTGAGTCTGGAAAATCCCAAAATCATTTTAAAAAATTGTTTTTATAATATAAATCAAAACAATTTTTTTTCCATATATTTACATTAAGCATTGTAAAATTACTTTCAAAAAGTAAAATGGAAAGAAAATTAGTTTCAAAAAATAAAATGAAAACATTCCATGAGGTTAGAAAGATTGATATGTTTCGTGGTCAAAACAGAAAGATTGATATATTTGGATTGGCTTTTTAGAAATTATACTTCCGATCTTTAAAATAAGGCCTGTTTAATTAATTTAATTAGATTGAAAAAATTAAATAAGTTAGTTAATTATAAGAAATATGATATGTTTTTCCCAAAACACCATAATCATTTTCCTTAATATCTTCTCTCTCACTTTTACTTAAAGGAGTATTCATAATGATAATTCAAAAAAATTAGATAAATATAAAAAATAAGTCTTATATTTAAAATTAAAATCAACTTAATAATTAGGTCCTATATTAAGAACCGGAAGAATATTTTTATTCAAAATTTTCTCCCTTGGCGATTCTTATTTCTTTAACCTTATTTATAATTGAGAGAAGGTGTTTTCTTTTTATCTTATTTATACTTTTCAGGTAATATTTATATGTCACTTCTGACAAATTTTATTAAAATAAAAATATTTATATAAAATTTTTTTTTCAGTTTCTTATAAATAAAATAAAAGGAAAATTCCAGAAAAGGTCCTTCGAATATATGAAATCCCAGATTGGATCCTAGAATTTCCAAAATGACAGAAAGGGTCAGTGACCCAATCTGTCATTTTGCAAATCAAGAGGAATTGACAATTTTGCCCTCATTTATATTCATTCACTACAATGATTTAAGAAATCACTATAAGGGTTTAAGCATTACCTAGATTCATGTAGCGAATAACTACTCGTTTTTTCATATTTAGGTGTCTTGTTATTAACTACAACTAATTTTGTAATCACTAGAACAATGTAAGTATTACCTAGATTCGTGTAGAGAATAACTATTCACTTTTTCATAGTCAGACACCTTATTATTAACTACAACTAATCTTGTAATTATTAACTACAACTAATCTTGTAATCACTAGAACAGTGTAAGCGTTACCTAGATTTGTATAGAGAATAACTACTCACTTAGTCAGGGGCAAAATTGTCAATTGGTCTTAATTTCACAAATGACAGATTGGGTCACTGACCCTTTCTGTCATTTTGAAAATTCCAGAACCCAATCTGGGATTTCATATATTCGAGAGACCTTTTCTGAAATTTTCCCTAAAATAAAAACTATTTTTTTTTTCTCTCTATGTTATAATCATAACCACAAGCAAAGGGACACCAAGAGAAAACACAGTGGCAATTAATTTCGAAGAGACGTTGCCTCGAAGGTTGCAATGAGATAACAATTGGGAAAGGGGATGGCATTAATTACCCGTATGCGGTGCTCTGTGACGTGTTTAAGTTTCATGATAACAAGTCGGGCAACTATTAATGAAAAATAAAACCAAAGCAGCGGATAATTCCCCGTGGCCATAGTCAATGTAGGGGTTCGCAAAATGGCAACAGCCAGCTAATTTACGTCAAATCTCTGAGCTACTAATTTTCTTCTGTCCTCCTCCTTTTATTTCTTTCGTATCAAATGACCTTAAGAAGTGCCGCCTTCTATTTTTCTCCGGTACAGCGGAATAACTTTCAAAAGACAATTTTTGTTTTTGGCGTTACAGACGGCAAGCTAGAGAGCTTGAAAAGGGGACTTTAAAAAAGCAGACTCCTAATTTGGCAATGGGCTAGGCCCCGTCATCCTGGTTTTATCTTTCCAAAAGCCTTCCCTGCACCACGATGGTACCTCTGGATGCAACCTGACCTGCTGATTTACGGCTTGAGCTGTCCGAGCCATGCTATCCGCACGTCTCTGTTTGCATGTGAGATTGTTACATTCTACTCTGCATATAATAATTTTCTGGTTTCCTCTATTTCCGCTTGAAATGGATGGGTGGTCCCACTATCTCTTATCAGTGTGTTGAGTCTGAATACACATGGATATCCGTAAGCTGCAAACTTCTGCACACCTCAAGCCCAGTCTTGATGGCTAAGGGCTTGTTTGGATTGACTTATAAGTAGCTTTTCAAACGTGATTTACAAAATACGAGATAAGTATGTAAGGAGAGTTTTGTCTACGTGAACTTGCTTAAAAGCCCGTTTTGAACGGAACTCCAAACAAGCCCTAATAATTCAGCTGCTGAAACCGGGTAGACGCCAATTGGTTTTTGGAATCCCATGATCCATTCACCTGCTGCATCTCTTGTGACTCCACCACACATTGCTTGACTGTGTTGGCGAACTGAAGCGTCTACGTCCATCCTAAACTCTACAGTTTTCGGTGGGGTCCAGCTTCTCTCCGAGTTCTGTCTGACTATGATCTAGGACTCCCTTGTTCACGTTCTCCATTAGGTGAAACAAGCACTGTATTTTGAGAGATAAAATAAATAAATAAATATAAGAGATAAAATAAATAAAAATCTTATATATTTAAAATTAAATTAATTCTTACATTAAATACTGGAGGTAGTGTTGGATTGAATTTTTCCCCCCTTGTGAACAGTGTTGGATTGTATTTTGAATGTGTGGTTTTTCTCCGTGGCTTTTATTTGCCATGCTTGTCCGTTGCCCTTCCATTACCTCACATGTAAAATAGTGAAGTTATTTCTCTCTCTCACACACACACACAAATATATATACTCCTCCGGTTCTTAATATAGGACCCAATTGTTGAGTTGGTTTTAGTCATAAATATAAGACCCATTTGTCATATTTATCAATTTTCTCTAAATTACCCCTATGAATACTCTCTCAACCATAATCAAGTAGAAGAGGAAGATGGGGTATTAAGAAACATGATTATGGTATTTTGGAAAAAATGTGTCACATTTTTTATAATTAACTAACTTACCTAACATCTTTAATCTAATCAAATTAGTCAAATGGGTCTTATATTAAGGACCGGAAGAGTACATACTTAAGGTCAAAGTAAACTTCGTTCTAATCGAATGAAGTATTAGATTGGGAATTC